TCCGAACAAGAGTGTAGTAAACATTCCGTATATGATAAAACTTGAAACACAAAATCATAAATTATAATTTAATAAATAATCATAAAAAAAATAATAATATAATAATAATAAATTTAATTAACATAATATAATCAAACCAAAAACACTGAAATTGGAAATAGAGTGCCAAGTTCGCACATCGCTGAGCAAAGTCGCAAAATCGTTTTTCAGTGTCTGATGACGAATTTCCCCACGAATCATTATCACTCAATTCTGCAAGTGGTTCTGATTTACTATCGCTGTTCTCTAGCTGGTCCAAAACCGCTTTTGACATAAAGGGACGCTTTTTGGACGCCATGGACTTTTCTAAGTTTCCAGCAGAAAGAACAGTCAAAATGCAGGCAGGGGACAGGACAAAGCAGTAGGGACAAAATGTATGTGAAATGTTTTGAAACAGCAATGTTTTACTATGTAATAATAATTTTTTTAAAAAATTACATTTTTGAAAAATTTCAAATTTGGCGCCGATTCCCGACGTCACAGGGACCGGAACACGAAAGCCGGATGCCGGCATCGGCCGGAGGTGATGGCCGGGGACGCATCGCGGGAGCGAAGGGCAAGGTAAGCGCTGCAGGGACTCCCTATGCAATGCCGCATGGTAAGCCCGAGTGTAGCTCGGGGTTACCGCTTTTGGTACTGAAACTCTACCCTGAGCTACACTCGGGAATACCGCCAGGGAGGTTAATGAGTTATCCAGCTTGCAGCTTGCAGAAAGGAGCCTAGTATGCCTAAAAAAAATGTATATATATATTATCGTCCTTTTAAAGTTTTCCACAAAGCCTATTTTGAAAAATGTGAAGTAGATAAATGTTGGATATAATTTGCACTTAGCACTCCTTCAAGGGGCTAACTGCTTTATTTATCGGCTATGCAGTGCTCATTCTGGTCCCTGAGTGCTCAGCAACTCCTCCCATGTTGGTGTCTAGAATTTCACCAGCGCTTCTTGCAGTTGGACTGTTTCCCTTTATTTTGAAAAGTGCTATGCAAGCATCATTCGGGAATTGGGCAGCAGGAGGATTGTCTTCTGTAAATGCTGATTGCCTGGCTGGCATATTAATCCCTCTAGCGATGTGAATGTGTTGTGCATTCGTTTCCGGAATGAAATGGAAAACCAGCCCAGCCTGGGATCCAGAGCTGCAAAGCAAGAGTGTTAGCCAGTTAACCACCATGCTGCCCTGTAATACATGCTTGAACATGCTACACGGATGCTGCAAAGGCTTTGACAATGGCACAAGACTGACCAAACTAGGAATTTTATCATTTCTGGAGGAAATGCAGAGCATACAGTATACAGTATAAGGTAATCCAAGCTTACAAATGGTTCACCTAGAATGTTTGGAAAATACACTGGTCATTCTGCAAGGGAAACTGTACTGTGAAAGTGAATGAATGAAGTGAAGCACTGCTGACTTCTTTTAGCTAATCAAGTGCAAGCAAATATGGTGCTACCCCCACAGGAGCTGCTGAGTTTTGAGTCCTCCAAAGCTCTACACAGCCAGGCAAGATGCATTTTCCACTCTTGCATCCAAAATCAGTAAATAGTCCATGAGCTTGGTTTTTGTTGTTTCATTAGAGTTTAACAACTTGGATGGGGTCTAGGGGTATATGGGTTGCCCAATGGAACTGAAACAACTTGGAGGACAAACTTCTTATGTACAAAATCAGAAAAATTTAATCAGTACACCGTCTTTTCTAGGAGCAATTAGTCCCCTTAAATGACCCCAAATGAAAATCTCTTCATCCACCTGGCTGTCGTGAAGAATATCCCACGGCAAGGGAATCAAGACACATAAGTATAATGTCCCAGGGAGAACTAATGTAGTTGAGTAGTATTGTACCCGACTGCCCTCTCCCATGTAGGCTCAGGGGGTGTAGAAGTACTCACACTGTCCTGTTCCTAAAGCTTTGAAATGTGAAGTTGCCTTCAGGCCTTATGCTGGGCTGGCTTCTTCCCCTGCTGACAGGCTGCCCCCTTCCTGGACTGTAGAACAGTGGAGGTCCTTCTTTCCAGATCCAAGCCTGTAGGCCTCCTCTGGGGCCCCCTCCCAGGCTTCACACCAGCATAATTTCCTCACTCCATTTTCTACCCGACTCCTATGCTCATCAAGCTGTCATATTTAAGGGCTGATCCAACCACACTACCAAGCATCCTTCCTGGGATTGGCCAGACTCCCATAAATATGCAGATCAGCCCCTCACTCCCACCCACTGGCTTCTAGAAACTTCTCCAAATCTCTGGAGCGGCGGGAGGTACTAGAGAACTGACCTGTAGAGCCCTCCAGCTCTAACCTAAAGTAACCTTGTTGACTCACACCCAGACTTCTAGCAAGCCTCTAACTATACAAAAAAAAATTATCTACACTGGAGTGTGTTACACAAAAATACTATTTTTTATTTTCTCTGCACATGATTGGGTAATATTTCCAAAGTGAAACATCACCACATTCACTAAACTCTGGAATAGATTCCCTTGCAAAGTGAACAGTCTATTTTAACATTTAGTAAATCAACATCATGGCGTGTACAAATCACCAATGTGTCACCTTCTCTTCTATAAACTGTGACATTATGTAACCAGTTGTGTTTTTTATTTAACTGTGAAATGATTACCCCCACACGCTCACAGGTAATTTGCCTGAACTGAAATGGCGAGGGGGCGGCTGGAACTGCTCATAAAGTAGAAACACATTTGCAAAGATAATTGGCTATTTACAAAGACAAGTCCGGAGAAATATTGTGATACAACGTATAATACAGAAGTAATAGCTGAGGATGTGTGGGAGTACAGCAATGAAAATTAAACTTCTAATGGATGCTCTGTGCTACTGTTCTTGATTATCTCATTAGATCTGCTTGGACAGCATCAGCAGTTTCTGTATAGTAGAATGTAAGCAAGCTGGAGTTCAGAATTAGTATGAGGGTGACACCTAGAAAACCCACAACTTCTTTGTCCCTGTTAAAGCATTGCTAATGCCATGAATGTATTTTAGGATGTTAATTCAACTCTCAGAAAGTATAGGGTCTTTCTATTCGTTCAGGATAATTCATCTTTAGAGTGTTTTCTCAATCTCTTTAATTGTCTCAAAGGTGAAACATCAGAGGTCTGTTTACACCCATGAAATCTCACCAAAGCTCCCCAACATAGCTCCTACAAATTGTATATAAAAAAAAAAAATTTAATTGGAAAATAAATAAATAAAATGGTAAAAAGTAATAAAAAAAATAAAATAACAAAAATTAAAAACTACTAACCCCATCCCCTGCTATACTTACCATATCCAATGCATTATTGACAAAATCCACTGCCATATTGACACTGTCCACTGCTCTACTAACTGACACCATTCACAGTCCTACTGATACCAGTGGCAAAACTACAATGGTCGCAAAGATCGCACTGGAATTCCACCACAATGGGGGGGGGGCAAAACAGCAGGAAGGGGGCCCTTTGCAAAACATGTGAAAGGGATCTGCTGTGGGAACATAATAAAGGGTCGCGCAATGGGAGTAAATGTCCCTGGGATCAGTGGGAAGGATCTAAGGCTTGAAGGGAAGGGCCCCACCTGGGGTTGGAGGACCCTTCATGGTTTCTTGCAATGGGGAAGGTACTAGATATGCCTCTGTTAGGGAGTATTAAAGGAGTTCCTACAAAAATGATTTTATTATTGTGCAACAGAGTAGAGCCTTCTTAGAACAGAAGGTATTCACCTGTCTCACTCCATCACTTATCCCAAAACTAAGAGAATTATTCCTAATTTCCGGATAGTGGGAATAGCCATACACATTATTCCTTTTCTCTCCAAAGGTCAACTGTACATCCTGAGTTCTTGGTGTATAGAAATAGTAAAGTTACAGCCTAATATTATAGAGCCATTTATTCAAACTGCATATATCTGTTTTATGCATTTTAGCCATCATCATTGCAGTGTATGGAAACTATGGCGTTTATGGAAGAGGGCTTGGGAGCCAACTTTCAACCTACTATCCTGAATTGAGGAAAAATCATCTTGTTTTTGTCCTAAGAAGGCTTTACTGTGCCATGCACCGGTTCAGTGGAAGGCTTTTCTGTTTCCATTTCTCCCTTGTTGCCATAACCTTCATGGTTATTTTTTTTTTGTTGGGTCCCAAGCTCTGCTCCATATAAGCCATGGTTTTCGTACCCATTTCACCACTTACTTAGAAACACCCCCCCCCCCCCCCCCCCCCCAAAGCAGTGCATAGTTACGGCTCTGTGGCAGTAGTGGACTCCCAAAATAGTTACATTCTGGATGCAGAAATCTCTTCCAGTACTGGCATATCTGAGCAGCAAGTTCCCATAAACATGACTAATGCCAAATTCATAGCATCTTCACTGTAGGAGTACAATTTCATTCATGTCTATGGAGACTTACTGCACAAGTAGGGAACTAGGGATAACTTCACTTTTGTTATAAAAAATTATAGCAAATAAAGGATTTTTTATAGCCTATACAATTGTTTCACAAGCCATAATGGAATTTAATGTTATGAAATCCTTCTTTTTCAATCTGGACCCTCTGTAACTTTCTGGAAAATCCAATGCAATATGGCAACCTGGAGGCACTCTGTACATTTTCCTAAGACATCTATACTAAGGTCGCAGTGAAATTTTAGGCATCCCCTGTAATAGGAATTTCAGTTTTAATGAAAATGCTCTCCACGGGTTATATACTTTAACAGAATGCAGACACTGCCAATTTCCTCAGTAGAACATTTGAATTTGTTCATGTGATTATAACGAAAGCTGACTCTCCTATTCAGAATCAATCTGAATCAATCAATCTGAAACAAACAGCTTTTTCTTCAGAGCAGAAACAAATAGTAGTCTGCAACAAAATTGGTTACAGTCCTTGTAGTCTATATAGATAATCCAAATGGGTTTGTTTTTTTTTCCCAATAGTGGAGTTACACTTTAACCACCTCCCGTGATCAAGGTGTAGCCCAAGCAGCGCCACCTGTTCAGTGCGCGGTCCATCAGTGCTTATCCATGCCACCTGCCAGTGCCACATCAGTGCCACATCGTTTCAGTGCCCATCAGTGCCACATCAATGCCTGTGTAGCCCAAAGCAGCGCCACCTGTAAGTGTCCATCAGTGCTTTATCAGTGCCCATCTGAGCTGCCTTTCAGTGCCACCTATCAGTGCCAGTCAGTGCCGCCTATCAGTGCCCCAGTCAGTGCCGCCTATCAGTGCCAGACAGTGCCGCCTATCAGTGTGCATCAATGCCGCCTATCAGTACCCGTCAGTGCTGCCTATCAGTGCCGCCTAACAGTGCCAGTCAGTGCCACTTAACAGTGTTGCCTATCAGTGCCAGTCAGTGCCACCTATCAGTGCCGCCTATCAGTGCCATATGAGTGCTGCCTTTCAGTGCCCATCAGTGATGCCTGTCAATGCCCATCAGTGCCACCTACCAGTGCCTCCTCATCAGTGCCCATCAGTGCCACCTATCAGTGTCCATCAGTGCAGCCTATCAGTGCCCATCACTGCAGCCTCATTAGCGCACATTAGTGAAGGAGAAAAATCACTTATTTACAAAATTTTATAACAAAAACTAAGAAAAAACATTTTTTTTTCAAAATTTTCAGTGGTTTTTGGTTTGTTTAAGAAAAAGAAAAAAAAACCCAGAGGTGATTGAATACCACCAAAATAAAGCTCTATCTGTCACAAAAAAATGACAAAAAATTTCATATGGGTACAGTGTTGCATGACCGCGCAATTGTCATTCAAAGTGCAACAACGCTGAAAGCTGGAAATTGGCCTGGGCAGGAAGGGGGTATAAGTGTCCTGTAGGCTAGTGGTTAAGGAAAGTGAGAATGTTGTTATTAAAGTAGAATTCCAGCTTTAATATCAGTCCCTCTTAATGTATGTGGCTGGTGCTACTACTGTCCATTACAGTGCATGCAACGGCCACATTGGTCCACACAAATTATTTAAAGTGATATTAAAGTTCTACTTTAAAGCCGAGTTGCAACGCTTTGTTCAGCTTTGGATAGCGAAGGGAACAATTAACATTACTTTAAGTTTAAGTTTTTAAGTTCTGTGACTGCATTGGGATGTCATGACCCATGGCTTTAGAGTAATCCTCGCACAGTAATGGTGTTTGGAGCTGGATGGGGAATGAGGATATACTGTATAAGGCGAAGAACAGATGTCTAGTCCAAAACTTCAGTGCTTGTTGTACATCCAACCTTACCTGGAGGTTTTCCTAAGTCTCCAAAAGGATTCCATTAAATTTTCAAACTTGCTCAAAGCAACCGCAAGAAATTGGCAGCATGCAAGCTGTTCAAAGTACTGTATAATTACTTTCCTTTAATTTTTTCAGTGAAGGTTAGGAAAAATAAAGTAAAAAAAATAAAAACGTAATGGTTTATTTAATGGTTTACTTTACTTTCTTAAAGTTTTATAAATTAGCCGCACTGTCAGCAGATAACACAGGTTTAATCATTAAGAGAGTGCAAAGGGCATTGATGATGCATTAACCCATACCAGCTCATAATCTTCCAGTTTATTTCCTTTAAGGTAAAGATACATTCTGATGGATTACTTTGAATTACTGTACTTTTCACATTACCATTTTTCCTTATTGCATATACCGGAAACACTGAAGACTGGAGGCTTTTAAGGACATCTATGGGACAGTACAATACTAGGGTTTTTGAGCGTAAGGATCCAATAATAAATCTGGAAGTCATTCTGGCGTTTTAGCTCAATTGAAATTAACTTAGAAAATATTTCTTCTTGGGGGGAAGAATTATTAACTGATAGCTTAAAGTATAACTAAAAGCCAAACTTTTTACAGTTTTGGATAGAGTGGTGAGATGTTAGAATTCCTGTCAGATTTTTGCTCCCTTTAGGGATATTAACTTTTTATAATTGTCCTGATCACTAATGTCACCAGGAAAGAATAGAAGAATAGATGGGAAATTTTCCAGTGAGGATACAGATGGCAAAAAAAACTTACAGTGGTTTTAACCCTCCTCTACTCTGTCCAAAAATGTAAAAAACAAAAAGTCTGGACTTTAGGTAAACTTTAAAGAGGAATGACAGGAAAAGAATATTGATTTAAGCTCAAGTTACTTCTAGTTATGGTAATCCTATGTCTTGAATGCTTCTGTGTAGTGTAAAAATGAGGGGAGAGGGAAGGGAGAGTGAATGAGACAATCTCCACACTGTACCAGAGCAGGAACTATTTGTCACAGTGCCGATAAAAGAGCACTGACTGTAAAATCCTGCATCAATGAAGCTGTCATTTTACATAGAAGCATTCAAGACCTTGGATTACCATCATTAGGTATCTCATTTTCATGGAACATTTATTAGAGTTATTGGCACCGGTATGAATATTAGCTTCTGTGCATAATAAAAACCTGCTAACTGCAGAAAGAAAATAGGGAGGCCCCTTCTGTTATCTCAATACTGGCACCCATAACAGTCTTTAAAGACATTATACCGTGTTTCCCCGAAAATAAGACACTGTCTTATATATTTTTTGGCTCAAAAAAACACACTAGGTCTTATTTTCGGGGTAGGTCTTATTTTTTAATAAGGGGGGTGCAGAGGTGAGCTGCAGGCAGTTGTGGATGAGGGTTACTATGGAGAGGGCCAGCTGATGACAGTTGTGAGCTGCAGTCAGGTGTTGCAGGGGAGACTTGACAGGTGAGTTTCAGACAGGGTGCAGATATGAGCCCAGACAGGGTGAATGTGTGAGTTGCAGACGGGGAATGCAGAGGTGAGCTGTGGCCAGTGGTGTGCAGAGCTGAGCTGTGGTGGGGGTGTAAAGGTGGGTTGCAACTCAGCTTGCCTCTGCACCCCTCCAGCCGCAGCTCACCTATGCACTCTGTCTGCAACTCACCTGACTCAATTTAGCTCTGCAACACCTGACTGCAGCTCACGTTTGCACATCCCCCTCCCCCTCCACTGCCCTCATATGGTTAGCTAGCTTTGCAAAAACACAGCTATCAGCAGCCGGCCCCCTCTCTATAAAAACTCCCGTTTGTGGTCCTATCTTCCCACACAGTGCACCAAGCGCACTTTTCTGCTCCGCCTCTTCCCCACTGGCCGGTGATCACCCCTGGGGCATCGGCTTCCATGCATTAGGCTGCAGGAGGAGATGCCCCACCCCTAAACACACTGCATACTACACACCCGCAGATATCTGTTCCTTCCCTGTCCCACAGTGAGTACAGAGGTACAGAGGTAGGGAGATTATGTGGGAGCGGATGGTGCTGTCACTTCCACCGCGTTTTCTGTGTTTATAAGAGACAGTAGGTATGGGTGTGCAAATGGCCAGTGCCGAAATGGCGTTCCGCCATGTTCCGGCTGAAAAAAAAGCCCTGATCACAACTAGGTCTTATTTTCGGGGTAGGTCTTATATTTTAGCAATTCCCAAAAATAGCACTAGGTCTTATTTTCAGGGTAGGTCTTATTTTAGCAGAAACAGGGTAGTATAGGTGCAAATGAAGACCTAGCTATCTGGAAGATTTACAAAACTAATCTGATTTCTAGTAAAAGTACAATAAAGGCGTCAACATTTTGCTATGTAAATGACTCAAAGAATGAACTTCACTGCAAGCAAGAAACGTTAAGTGTATCTAAACCCAAAAACAAAAATGTAATATACTGAAGCTTACCAGTCCTTAGATGTGGTGGCTGCATACATTTTCACTTTTCAGATTAGGAATATGTTTACAAGCACAGAAAGTACCTGTTGATCTTAAAGTGGTTGTAAAGGCAGTAGGCTTTTTACCTTTATGCATTCTGTGCATGAAGATAAAAAAAAAATCCTCTGCATGCAGCTCCCCACCACTTTTTCTTACTTGAGCCCGATCTCAATCCAGTGATGTGTACAAGAGCAGAGGCTCTCTCGGCTCCCTCACACCTCATTGGTATAGATACAGCAGCGGTAACCATTGGCTCCTGCTGCTGTCAACCACAGCTAATGAGGGAGCAGGGGCATGGCTGAACCGTGCTCTGTGTGTCTTATGGACACACAGGGCTGGCTAAGGGAGTGAGCATGCATGGGTACCCCCATAGCAAGCAGCTTGCTGTGGTGGCATACAGTGAGGGGAGGAGCCAGGAGTGCCAGTGGGGGACCCAAGAACAGGAGGATCGGGGCTGCTCTGTGCAAAACATTGCACAGAGCAGGTAATTATAACTCCTAGATTGTAAGCTCCGAGGAGCAGGGCCCTCCTATCCCTCTTGTATTGAACTGTATTGTTGCTGTTTTGTCTCCCATTATATTAAAAAGCGCTGAGCAAACTGTTGTCGCTATATAAATCCTGTATAATAATAATAATAATTTTAAAGAAATAAAATTAACATTTAGTATCACTTTAAAATAAAATAAGAAAGAACACACCCACAACAGTGTATTTGTTATAATGCTTACATTATAAGAGCAAAGTCATATAAAGTTATATAAATGTGGTTCAACACCACCCAAGTATAGCAATGCAATAATGCAATGCCTAACGCATAAGCAATAAGTAATATAAGTGATACATAAGCAAAACACCATATTTAGAAACACACTGTGTACAATACTATATATGAACAAGGTGATCGTATGAAGGAAAACCTGCTAAAAGCAGAAATAACCAAAAAGAAAGCAGTAGTGGAAATATCAAGTCAAACAATAGTGAGATCCTAATGATCCAATGTTTCAGGGTACTGTCTGAGCTCTTCAAGGAGAAACTATTGAGCTTGTCATTAATGTTGTGTCCTTTTTACTTACTGTGAGCTCAAAAGAAAGCACAAAGCACCTTATCCTAAAAAACAAAAACTCTGTCTAAAGAACTCAAGTAGATGTACATAATGAATCAAACTGTATGAAAATGAACAGTTACAACGAATGAGCAAAATCATCTCAATACAGCATAAAATAAAAAAAAGTAATAGAAACAGTCTCTTTTGTGTTTTTCTAACCCATGTGCATTATCTAACCCAAAGAGGTGAAAGTAAACTGTAATAGCTGAGACTTTTGGATTAGAATAGGACCTTCTGAACACAGGGAAAGAGTCCTCTTTTATGGGCTATGACTGTATGAGCCATAAACAGTGTCTCTTGCTAAAATATTCTAGCATAATGTAGCTAACGTTCTTTCTCTAATATATGGGATAGGGTTAGGAGTGTACTGGATGCTCAATGGAACTGTGAAACCAAGGACAACTTCCTGGAACTATACACAAGTTTTTTACAGCAAAATCCTCTTCTTGGAAAGCTAGCCAGCATCCCTGTATGAGTCCCTGAGTGGGGGATCCAGTGCCTGCCACTTTATAGTAAGACAATCCTGGGTAGTTGCTAATCTGATTTCCCACCAGAGTGCTCCTTCCCCTATCTGGTCCAGAGGGTGAAGG